TAAGTGATTTGATGCAAATATGATAAAATATACATACAAGTAGGGGTTTTTATTGGAATAAAACTATTGCATAGTCATTTCAATTTTAATTGAATTTGAAGTTTGTTTAATAATTCGGTAGAAATACAATTCAATACTTAATGTACAATGTATTGTACTATCTTTATATTATGTATACGGATTGTATTGTATTGTTTTGTTCAACGAAATGGTTTGAAAAGTGAAGTATCAAAAACAAAAAAACCATCATTGTAAAACAATACCTTTTAAATTATGTTTTAAAACAAGTAAATCTGATATTAAAATTTAATTTGAGAAGCTTAAACTACACATGTTTACATTAAAATAAGTTAAAAAATTAAAAACCGAAGATTTATGTGTTTTTATGTTAAATTTTGAACCGAAAAACTCTAGAAGTGTGTTATGTACAAATGACCTAACCTTTTAAAAATAATTTCACAGATAAAGGTAAAATAATTGTTTAAATCTTACTATTATAATGAATCCTCCCACAAAAATCTTTAGAATTTCTGTTTTTTTCGATTCGATGGTATGAGTAACTGATTGGTAAAACACCGAACATTTTACAAAGGTAATAAACTGGAGCAAAAATAGCCAAACGCCCAATTTTCCACCGCCTATTCATGGTTTGATCAATGACCGTATTCTACGAACAACTCTTTAATGTTAAGTAATCTGACCAAATTCGTTTTAATTAAACTTGCAACTTAAAATGTCTATAAAATAAAAACAAATAATAGTGTTGACGGAACACGTCAACATTGTCGAGAATTGTTAAAAAAACAATATTTACTAAAAAAACTCGATTATTATATGCAATGTTGGTGTTATTCCATCAATCATTTTTACTTTGTATCATGGCAAAATATTATTAATAAAATTGCTAATGAATAACCACTTTTTGAACATTAAAAAAATTATTTTCTATTTACAAAGGTCAAAATTGTATAATCATCGCATAATATCGTCACCAACGTATTCATTTATTATAAACATCCCGTTCTAAAATATAAAAATTAATAGTTAATATTAGTACTCAATATAATTTATTTTACATCTCAAAATAAAATAACAATTATGTACACATTATGTTAATAATTACTGTACTGAAATATGAAACAAATTGGCGTAGAATAGTTTGTACTACAGTGTTCTTAATATTTTTAGTTTCTCAATTGTCTACGGTATTTTTTTGTAAAGAATTATTTTCTTTAGCTTCTAAGTTAAACTTATTTTAGGACAAACATTAATATTTACCGTTATTTTCTTCAATTGAATGCCTAATTCAAGATAAAGAGAACTATCGTTTTTCATTTTTTTTTCTATAATCCTAAAAGCTTTCTTCATAGATTATAATATTTAAAGAAAATCCGATATTTTGTGGCCTATTTTGACAATATTTTTACGATTTTCTATCCACCGCTTGTTGATACGTCCTTTTAAGTATAAACAAAATATAATAAGTAGTTTATTAAACCTAAAATTACTGTTAAAAAACTTTTCCATAGCGCATTTCCTAAACAATGATAATTTGGGGATAATACAGAGTGATAATTTTATCATGAACCACTCAATATCTCATAGGATTTAATAAGAAATTACATTTTTTTTTTACAAGTGGTTTTATACAATATGATCTAAATTCATGACATTTATTAGTTGTATGATCAACCGTAACCTAATCGAGTTATATTTTTGGCTAGAAATCTACTTTGGATTTTACTGGGAAGTTTGTAATGGCTGCCAGTTTTTCTTATTTGTATTTTTTGTAAAAATGATATAAATTCGCCACAACAATCGTAATATATATCCCGAGAAACGAGGGGTTCTAGTTTCATGTAATGTATATATTTAAGTTATGAGTAAATTAGTAGCTCGAATACAAGATTTTATTTGTATGCTATAAAAAGGAAGTATTGGCAAACAGCCAAAATAAAAAAAAATACTTTACCCCATGATTCGTATCATGTCGACAAACGCTGCATGTATCGTTTTTTTTATGTTTTACTTGGTCGACGATAAAAAAACAAAAAGTATTTTGTCAAAATATATTATACCCGGCGATTTTTTTAACATCCTACATTAGTTTACTAATTTCAATTTTGTAGTGTTTTTTTTTTTTTTTTGAAAACATTTTTATTTAATTTATAGTAAAATATTAGACAATACCTATTCAAATTTTTATCTTTTTAAACAGTTAAAGCAGTTGCTCTATCAACTTAAAAATGTTAAAATATGAATACGTGTATATTTAATTAGCTTTTTAAATTAACAATAATTTAGTAAAACTCGTTTAATACATATATAATGTATATTATGTTTGCCTAGGGAATTGGACGTACGCAGCCGGATACTTCCAAAGGAACATTAGCGTTGTGACACGATCGTGTTCGGTTATTTAAAAAGCTTAGTAGCGCGTTTCGAACAAGTGTTACACGTCGCCATACTGTTAAACACGGTTTTGAACGGCTCCTAATTGAACATTAAAATGTCAACTTGACAAACACACCAGCTCATCCGTTCCGATTCAACGCCACTTACAAGTTTAGTTTGATTAAATTACTGTTGAGGTTACAGTGTATGCTTCTAACGTGCTGTTGTACTAATTTACGAAATGCTAGAATATTAATTATTGTGTTTGAAAAAAAAAAACCGAATTAGTCGGTTATAACATTTTTTCAATCGGTTAAGAGATAATAGCAGTCCAATACACTCTATAGTATGTTGATGAATGATTTGTATTCGGGTATTTGGCGTTCCATTTCCTGGATGATTGCCCGTGGCCTATTTTAAACAGCTGCCATGTAGTGTTATTTGTTCGCGACCGACCAAAGGTTACCTATATTATATTGTTGGAAAACAACAATTTAATCGGTAACAAGTTAGAACTAAACAGTACTTCAAACATTGTTTAAAGTCGTGTCCGCCGGCTGGTATAGTAGCAGATGGAGCCGATCGTGGTTTTTGTGACCTATGTAATTTCCACTATTTTCGATTGTTTAGCAGAGTCCCTTAATAATAGATTGTCCTGTTTGTCGGTAGTGGTTCAGTTTACGGAAACAATTGTACTTTTGGTCTATTGTTTGCTAAAAGTATGTCAGTAAATCCGTTAACCGTCGAAATCCTTGCTGGATTCTGTCGAATTATCTGCGGCCTGATGATATTTACTAATTCTATTTGATAACTTATCGGTGCCATTTAGAAGTTTATCCAACATAAACAAAATGCCACTATCAAGTTTCTACGGTATGTGCTCTTGTTTCATATGCTTTCTGCTAATTTAAAAGAAGACATTGATCAAACGCCGGTAATTTAAGGTTTAAATCCGTTTTCAGTTAAAATAATTAGATTATTAATCAAGTTTAATAATTAGAAAAAAAATTAGTATAGCTCTATATTTTTCGGTTTCTCTTTTACAAATATTTGATCTCAACATCAAAAGCCAACTAATTACATAATATAATAACATTTTATTTTTTATAGTGTCGCCAACATTTTAGACAACTTCAGCAAAAATATAAACGCTTATCACTAACGAATATTAGTATAGAAAAATAGTGTAAACCTTTGTAAACAGACGGTATAATACGAATAATACTAAATAGTAAAATAAAGCTTCGGGGTATTATTTATAACTTATACAATTTTGTTCTACGATTAAAGCCATTTTGTTACTACAAGAAATCAATTTAGACCCAAAAGCCTGAAAAAATTACGCCTAATTAGAATGATCAGATTCTTAATTCTGTAAAAATGATTGAGCTCATCGGCTTGTTTTCCAGGTTTTTGTGGAAGTCGATTTTTAAATAACTGTTTCATTTACTTAAAAAAGACAATGGAGTGAATTTTGTGACTAAAATTGTGTGAAATTTAAATAGGATTTCAACAAAATTTTGATTGAAATATCAAAAATCGATTCTCACAATAACATAGAAAAGAGGCCGATAAACGCAAATATTATTATGGAATTTGACTCTGGCCATACTAACTAGGTGTAATTTTTTCAGGTTTTTTGGTCTTAAATGTTGAAAATACCGACCGCTTTTAATCCGTTTAAGGAAAAATAGTTAAAAAACTTTGCGCGTTTTAGTTATATTAATTTCTTCATCGAAGAACAATTTTTTTTTTACAATCACACAATTTTTATATAATTTTTCATGTAGTAGATTTTCTTAAAATTAATCGTTCACATATTTATTTAAGTATATTTTGTATTCGAATAATATGTTAAATAAAAAAAAAAACGTGAAATAAACAAAAAATTGTTGCCTTTATTAATAATTTATATGTACAATTTGTTTTATTTACAATATATATAATTGCATAACCGTGTTTATTATAATTTATATAAAGTAATAGTGGTTATCAAAATGCGTGTACGCAACAGTAACTATAATAATATATCGCACCCCCGCTTTAAAAGTGACACAACTCAAAAAATATGATTTTCGAGGTTATTTTAAATAAATAGCATATCATTATTGTGTAAAAACGTCATGAGTCTATTGTTATGTTTCACCGATAGATGGCGCACGTCACTTTTGGTATTACATTTTTTCACATTTTGTTGTACTTTTTAAATGACTCTCATGGAAAATAGCATTTTTCCAGTTGTGTCACTTTTTAAGCGGAAGTGCGATACATAATTTAATATCTAAATTTCTTAATTTTAAAAATGTTTATTATTCTTAAATAACAATATGATAATTTATTATTAGACACTGAATAATAATAAATATCATACTATATTAGTACAATATAACGTAAAATATCGTTTATTTAATGGTACATGGAAACAATTACAGAATTTTTTTATTTATAAATATTTACAGCTATATTTTATACGAGTATTTAGATATAATAAATAGATGTTATACAGCGAACGCTTATAAAATACTTTTATTAGTATTATATTATATATTAGTAACAAAACAATATAATATTATAACATATTATTATAATGATATAAAATATCGAAACGAAAACAATATTAGTTACAACGGTATTTATAAACATTATTATAATAATGATAACTTCATATATAGATGTAGCATACAAGTGTTATTGAATATAATATTGTTTTAACATTTTATTTATGACAGTTCTCACTATTAGGGCTACACGTTTAAACATAATGATCTAGGTATTGTTAAACTGTAGGTACTTTATTTCTATGCTCAACTGGTGGGAATAATTATATTTAGACAAGTGTATAGTCAAATCGTTAAGTCAACCGGGTAAAATATAATAAAAGACAATAATATTTGCATTCAGCCTAACCGATGAAGTCGCTCGGACAGTTCTGTCTATTGCTGAACCTAACATTTAAATCATAGCACAAACGTTTTATTTTATTAAGTTGTTATTGGTTAAATAAATAACTGGCAATATATTGACAATTGTGTAAGTACAGAGTGCAAATTGTTGACTACTCGTTGTCGAGATAACTGTAAAAACGTAACATTATCGGATTTGATAAAGTGAAAAAAAAAATTATGAAAATCGTTTTAATATAATCGTTTGAATTTTGCTTATAACAAACTCATTATTACGTTTTGAACTAAGGGACGAGATAAAAAAAAAAAGCGGTCAGGGAAGCATCATTATTTATGACACAACGCGTTTTAATATCCTTGTTGAGCGAGATAACTCGAGTGCAATTTTCGCGGCTTATTCAAAATAGATATACCGGCCAAAGAAATAATGTAATTCCTTTGGGAAATAAGAACACTCGTTTAAAAAAAAATATCACTCCCTCGTTACCGACTCTTTAAGTAAATACCATATCCAAGAAATCCAAAAAAAAAAACTTCAAGTTTTTATCCATAAGTAAAGCTATAATTTTGTAATACGATTTACGGAGAACATGACGAAAAGTCTTATTTACATTTAAGAGTTAAACAAGGAGACGTACACGAGCGTAAAGTGAAGTAAAGTACCAATGTATTTCTCTTTTGATAAAAAAAAAATAACAGCTACACGTTCAAAAGTGTGTGTAATTATATTCAATCATAAGAAATCGTTTGCTTTGAAATTAAGTTCGATTCGATTGAAAATGCAATACATACATTTTACTAAAAGCCGATACGGTTGAATGCGTTTTTTAATCAACATAATATTTTATTTAATTCAATTAACGGTCTCGCCGGGTATCATTGGTAATTTATTGCTGTTGGTCCAGAAAATGTCCGTTTTTATTTTTATTTTAGTAGATAATATTTTATCACATCCCTTTATTTCCATCGGTGAAAAATGAACTCCAATGCAACCTAAATCCGTTTAACAACTGTCTAAGTGCGGATTAACAGCTAACTCGACACGTCATTGTGTAAACAACGGTTTGTACAAAACAAAAGCTAATCATGACGTTCCGTGTAATAGGATTGTATATTATTATCAGTGTTATCGTTATTATTATTATTAATCATTCTGTACAACTCTGTCTGGGCACCATTAATCATGGCGTTTGCAGCTAAAGCGGGAATTCGAATAATGTATTATCCGATCAACGGGGTGGTTAATTTGTATTGATAATAATAATTGTCAATACTGACCAATGTAATACAATTATCATTGAGCGCTATAGGCGTTTTACGGCACCGAAGTCCTAATTTAATAATGATAATATTATTATTATTATTATTGTATTCGATACAAACTCGGTTTTTGATCGCCATAACATCTATTGTTGTTAATTTAATTTACACCCGGACCGCGGCACAACTTTACATTTTTTTTTAATTCTATCCCTTTCACATCCCCGTCCAATCACAATCCACCATTGCCACTATCGACGACGGACAGAGAATGAAACTCGACGACTTTAAACAGAATTGGGAACAATCGAGGTCATTGCGGTCAACGGTCGGTGGAAAAATTAAATATGAAAATAAAAATACAATATAAACTACACGATCGAAGGCTTTCGAACTCGGGCATTCGGCCGGAAAATCGCATAAGCTTATGCGATGAGCGAGGCTTCGTGTTTCCCGACTTTGGCCACAACATTTATTATTTTTTCTTGTAGTCCTACACGTCTTACTGCACACACACATACAAATAACGCACGACCCATTTATAATACACACACACACACACTTGTATATACATTAACAAAAACGACAACAGTTAGGCAACAACGCCGGCGTTGACCAATCTAATCTTGGACCGCGAGGTCCGATTTCTTTGACGGTTAAAAAAAACATATAGGTATATAATGTATATATGGTCTTATACTGTATAATCGATTAATACTCTTTACGGCCGTCCCGTTGTAAGACAATGATAACTAATAATTTTTTTTTTTTTTGTACATCGACGTTGTTTTTTTTTTAATTATAATTATTTATAACATATTGTTATGTATAGAATATATATATATATATTATAGGAACTCGTTCGACGGAGCATTATTATCTGAGTTGATCGTCGGTACGGGTGAACGTCCAGCTGAGGATCATAACGCACAGTATTGTGATGGAGCTGTTGGACAAGCCGGCCGATCCGGTCTGCATGGCGGCCGGACTCTCGCCTGTAAACAAAACCGGTGTGTGTTATTAGAGCAATATAAACATTTTTTTTTTTTTTTGAGAAGGGGGGGGCTTAAGTACCGTTTAACACGTGAACGACCACGCTGGAAACGTCGGCGTTGGACGGCGTGCACGAGTATTTGCCGGAGTCGGATTGCACGGCGTCCTGTATGAGCAGATAACTGACCGTAACGTCTCCTTTTTCTGTTACAACGCTCACGCCTCCGCGACTCGAGTCGTAGCTGATTACCTGAAATCGACGAACATAATAAAAAAAAAACGGACTAACGCATAACGAAACATACTGAGGCATTACATAGAAGTGTACAATTAGACGGGACACTGCATATCTTACCGGGCCTCTACGGAAAACGTATTCATCTTTTATAAAAAAATACGGTGTCTCTCACGTTGCTTGGACAAGCCTAAATTAGTTTTGAGTTTAAGTTAATAGAGTACTGGCAACTAAAAAAACACCCCGTTAAACTCTTATAAACGTAGAAACAAAATAGTTTTCAATGTGCGGCCGATAGTCGAGACCAGAATTTAATGAAACACACACAGTTTACCAGTTTGGGATTGAAATCATGTCAATGAAAAAGTATTGCAGAAAAGTGCCTCTCCAGAGAATACCGCTGAATGAATATGGCTATAACGGATTTACATCCGAGTACATTGAACCAATCAATTTAACCAGGTTAATATGACACGAATAAACCGTGAAAAGTTCAGATTATCCAATTGAGTAATATTTTTAATAACTTCCATAGGGATTCCGCGTGTAAATTACTAACAAAAATACATAAATATTAGGCAATACACGGTAATATAGATATCGTCTTTAATTAAATGTTATTGATTATTTACGGAAAAATTGTAATTTGTAAAATACTAACGTTAAGCTACATAAAGTATAGTACACAATACATTTTATTATCTTTTATATTTGCGAAAATCTATGTCGAAAACAATAATATAAATTACATTTGATTTCCATTAAATGCGAATCAATGCGAAGTCGTTATGTATGAGATAACTTTAGCACGAGTCATGTGATACGGCAGTAAATTTTGTTAAAAAGTTTTCAAAGAAGAAAACTTTATAGCTTCGTATACAATAATATCAACAATAGCTTTAGAGAATATTGAATACATTAAGAGCAGCTTATTGGGTTGTCCTTAATACGAAACGTTCTACCGGATTGCCTGATGTTATTTTCAATATAGTACTTCGTGGAAGTTCGCTCTCATAGTTTCCACGAGAAGTCACGAATTTATTGTTTTTGCGATGATACGACAGTCTTTCCCCTCCGATGTTTTTGCTGAGTTTTTAACCAATCTAGATATCTAGATTAAAAACACTTACGAGGCTAAGCTTTTGATATCCAGTTGGAAAACCAAAAAGTTTTTCTAACATTAGCTATAATATACATATCGATATTCTTTTCTACTCAATATTTAAAACCTATTGTTTTAGTGTAGACTTTAGGCTATGAACGTAGTAATTTGTTTCTATACAACCCAAAAAAATCAAAATGATACTTTAAAATCATATTGCGAATGTTATGAACTCGTTTTGAACTGTTTGTAAGAGCAAAGCAATAAAAAAAAAACGATTTTTTTAAAATAATAATTTCAGACATTACTGACTTGGTGAATATTATATGAACGTATTATTAATTTGTATAGTGACAATTTTTTATTCATTGAGTCTTACTTTCGCTAGTAATAATAATACCATTGTTGTAAAATCATTATAGTACTACATATTGTCAGATCCTATATTATCATAATAATTTATTTATGATTTTTTGTTTGGACTTACTTCGTCGTAATGGTACCAGAAAATGTATGCCGGCGGTTCCGGGCTAAACTTGACAACGCACGTCAAATTTATGGTGCTTCCTTCGTTCACGTGTATGTCAGGGCCTCCGGATATGGAAGCTGACGGCACTGAAACATTATAATACCGTTGTATGTACTTAAGTCAAAATACAAAGCTCTCGCATCAGTGTATAATATACACTGTATATATTAGAATTATGTACGAGTAGGTAATGAGATATGAAAGGGGTTCTGAAAATTTAGTATTTTTTAGAGAATACTTTCGGCTAATGTTTAATCGAAGTGCCTTAATGTTTTCTTAAATATAACCATGGTATATATTACCACGTGGACATCCATACCCAGAAAAGGTTTTCATTAAAAGTTATTATGAATACTTACTCGGTGTAATGTGTAGAATTAATACATGTTATCAAATCGTATTACAACTATTCATACAAAATATTTATTTAATGGATAATATTATACAGGTTGTTTAATTATCAATGGCCAATTTATTGTATTACTTAGGTTGTTTACTTGTAAAAACAATTATTCTATAATGAAAATCTATTATAATATTAAGTATGAACTATGTATTTTGTAGTTAGACCGAAAAAATATATTTTCAATGATTATATCTATGAGTTCAATTTAGATCGTATAGAGTAAGTTGAATATTTTAAGTTAATAAAAAAAAGTCTTAATAGAATGTAATTGGGTTTATGATATTATGTTGGTTACTACTTCTATGTTTTAAAAGCGTTTTGCAGTTTATTTGCAGTTATGACTCTCCGATATAACTTTATAATAAAATTATTACAGGTAGTTATTGTTGACCGGTTTAATAATATTTTATTGTTTTTAGCGCTATTTAACTTAGTTATTTTGAAACACATTATGCTTAACAAAGATAAACGGATAAACGAAAAACGTGACTCGAAGCTAATTCATTCACTTAAGGACATACCATTGTGGAGTGTATGCTAGTTATTGTGTAAGTAAACAAAAGGGTAGGGTAAACATTTAAAATCTTTTCGTACATGTCTATGTCGGTGTGCAAATATTCGTTTCTTTGTTTATACTTTGGGCAAACACAGACTTTTCATAGCTTAAGTTCTACTATCAAATAATAAACGAAAAGTAAAAGTACGGGTACGAGTACTCAATAACCATCCGCCGTGATCTCTATACAAGTAACGAGAATATTTTCAAATTGCAAATACTACAAATTAATAATAACACATACGGAGTTTAAAAATGTAGTTAATGAACTTATGCCATTTTCAGTTCAACGTCGACGTTATGTTGCAAACATAGTATGTGGCATGAGAAAGAGCTTAAGATTTCATAAAATGTCTAACAAGGTCAAGTTATAATATTTCACTTTTACCGAAAACTTTCATGTTCTGGTCATTTTGTATACATTTTGTAAGTCGTTGGCTCAAATTTTGTCTAACCCGCACGCCAGTCAAACTACAATATTATATATTAAACAATTGTATGAACATTTTTTAATTGATAAGACATCATTATGATTTTTTTAAATTTTACATTTACCCGTGACTTGAAACTAGCTTAGAATCGTTTGATTTACACCCAACGAACCGAGCAGTGCTTATAAATAGAGGTCATGTCTATACTACATCCGTATAAAAGTATGTGTAGTAATGGTTATTTCGGTTTCAATACGTTGTACAAACCAATTGAAAATCCAAAGCGTTAGGCAATTGTGGCGCTGGGCAGATTTTATGCGAACACTCCAAACGTTAATTTGGGATGCAATGCCGGTATTCATAAATCACGGACCGGTAAGTGGGAAAGACCTACTAATTAGTCGAAGAGCCGCTCTGAAAGCACCCCAAGAGCTGAAAAGGGATCGCTGCTGAAAACCGGAATAAACACATACATGCGCGCACCTCGGGTTAAGTCTTACAAAAACATCCGTTTCAAAAGCTCACAGGTGCTCGTATTGTTCTCTCGTTGCTGTTTAAACATCTCTGACAACAAAACTGTACGCTTTTTCGATATAATTAAAGAACATAGTACAACGAGATTATTCGGCGATATTTATCAAAGGAATTGTTTTTCGAATTAAGTATATTATACAAGTTACGGGAATGGAATTATTTTAATTTTCAGACGAACAAAACGACAGTTTTTGGTACAGTAATAATAACACATTCTATATAATGAGCACTCTGCATAATATTTTGTATATTGATATAAATACTTCACTCGAATATGAGTGAGCAAAATGTTATGAAACAGCTCCTAATGTATATTCCATAAAATCATAAAGACCGTAGAGTATCAACTATGAAAAATTATTAACAGACGGTAAAGTTTTATTTAAGCGTATTGTAATTATTTTACGGTCGGGTTTCTTTCTTGAGTTCACAGGAGCGGAAAAACTAATGTGTTTTAAATTTCAAGATCAGTGGACTCAAAAATATTAAACTAAAGGGATTTAATATGTTTTAATGGTATTTACATTTTATTTGTGATACACATATAATTTGGCTACCATTAGGAACTGTTCTTTCTTAAAATCTTTATCTATTTTGAATCATTATTATTTTTGTCAAAACATAAACTATTTGTCTAGGAAATAACTGCGTAATCGGATAATGTGTAAATCTTGTATTATGTTGCATTAGCGGTAACGCGTTCAACGTTTTACCCGGCGGAACTTGAAATCAAAAACAAAATTTGTCAACTAAATGTGAAGCATCCCTCGAGGGGAAAGGTGTATTAGTCATTTTGTTTGATACCGGTTGTTTATAGTTGGTGAGCAATGAGAAAGTTATTAGACTACCTGACACAACTAAAACTAAAATGGAAAATTCATTACAGCTACTATATACATATACAATGTAGGTCATTGAAATGTAATTATAAATTTATGTTAATAAATCAGAAGCTATGCTTGGTTATAACTGTTATATGATTCATAAAGTCATTATGTTATTGAAACACAAAACCGAAGCTAGTTACGATTAGTCATTAGTCTGCGAACACGTTTAAAAAGTCAATAAATATTTGTTTCATTCGTTTATCGGAAATTGTATTATTGATTTAAAAATTAGTCGTTTTAAGCACAGAACGTTTCACTCGAAAAAAAGTGTGCAATTTTGATAAAAACCTTCTGCAGTGTCGCCGTCTCCTATCATCATATCTAACAAATTGTCATTGTTGTCAAAAGGCGGCGAAGAATCTGTAACGATTTCGATTTCAATTATACAGAATGGCTTTTTTTTTTTTACACAATATAAAGGTTATAATTTTATTGAAATATTTTTTTTTTTGTTCATTGTCCATGGCTTAAATGTGTACGTGGTTTGGGGAAATACTAAACAGTTAGGTATTAAACGCGGTAATCTGGTAGTAAAATGATATCTTCCGTTTTATATTTTTGTTTGCTATAAGCGGATTAATATCTCGATAGCAAAAAATCTTGTTTACATTTAAGCCATGGGGCGATGACCCGGCCCGGACTGAGAGGGTTTCAGTTTACTATTTCAGGCCAGCATACGTCCCATAAAGCCTAGGCGTATAAGATTTGTATAAATCCCACAATCTAAAATCTTTAATATAAGACGTTGGATCTCTAGATAAATGTTCAAGTATTTGGGTTTGGCATTATCAAAATTTAGCAAATAATCAGGATTCCGGAGCGGTATAAAGCCGTTCATCATCGGCGAATCCGGGAGAGGTGCCCAGTCCGGGCACGGTGTTGTTTAAGTGGAACGAAACTTGACAATAAGACCTACCGACAACGCTGAGAGTGACGAATATACTGCGCACCGGTTGTGTGCTCACTTGACACTCGTAAATGCCGGCGTCTCTTTTTTGGGCCCACTTGATGTGCAACGTCCATTGGTCGGAGTGCGACCTGTGGTGGATAGCCTGGAACCGCTGGTCACTGGTGTACGTGTAAGCACCCACCGTGAGTATGTGTATGTCCCTGTGTCGTATCCACGATACCTGCGAAGAGAAAACGACGAAATTATTGTTTTATTTTTTAAAACAAATCTGGCGTTAAGAATAAAAAAAAAAAAAAAATGCAAATAATTTCAACTGTACGCGAACGAATATAATAATTATGGCAATGCTCTCGCCTCTTCCTGCCCCCCCCCCACCAAAAAAAAAACTGATGACAATCCTTAAATTAAATATACACGGATTAAAGCGTCGTTGAAAAATATTTCATCTTCAGTATAACTGTTATAGTATTATGTGGTTTTTGGGCACAAGTGAAAAGACAAAAACCCCAATTGAACTCTTTGTCCTCGCCGCTAACGATAATAATTATCGATACCGTAGTACACTACGGTGGAATGTGCGCCGGTGTTAATAATGTAAAGCTGCATAATATAAAATACATTTCGAATACAAAGTATAAGAGGGAAATATCTAAGTGGCACTGACGGCGGAAGGATAAGATTGCGTTCCGGTTTCAAGTCCTGCGACGATAAAGACGATACAAAGATAAGACGAGGGGGGCGACTCTGAGTTGGAAAACTAATTCAGTGTTATTCGCTTTTTTGACTGTAAAAGTCTGACGCGCACTGATCAATTTTAAAATTCAATTTGATAAAAAGCGACCGTTCGAATAACGTTTTTGAATACAGGAATACATTTTACTCGACACTCGAGTTCAGCGATTTGGACTATTTTAACTGTTTGGTTGTTACAGATGTTATATTTTGAAAATACCGGCTTCAAATATCTACTTTATATTTATTTGAATTATGATTGTTATGGTGTAAACTTTACAAGGTTGTTTATGTGGTTACCCTAATTGCATGGGTGAATGGGTTTGTGCGTACGGTGAAAATTTATGTGATGGAAGGTAGTCTTCACTTATTTTTAAGAGATAATTTGTTTTAATTAAAAAAGTAAACGTCATTAATTTGGTGATTTACCAAAATAGTTATGTATAAATAAGTTAGTTATAAATATTTAGAAAGTAACTTATGATACGATTATTCTATTTTTGTGATATTTTATATTTTACACAAATTAATTCTGATTCATAATGTTCATTATATTTCGAAATACTTTTACAGTGTAAAGTATTTACAAAGTTCGCAGTGTACTAGCGACGCAGCTTAATTATTTATCTTTCCCTTCTGTACCCGGCAATAGGCTGTATGTAGTCTCATTATATTATCATATTGTTTTTGTGCGCATTTGTTACGCATTAGTGTTATTTTTGCGTTTGTATTTTGATTTATTACTTTCTAGTGAACTTTTCAATAGTTTTGCGCGCCGTAGTTCATATTATGTTCTCGGGGAAGAAAGTTTCCAAGAACAAGTTTCAAGTGACTCGCCACGACTTAGACAATGTATGTATGTAAAATATATACATTCAGCAGGGATATAAAGGATTTCGTTGAATAGCCGTGTGCGTGTGTTCGGTACAGAATTTGCATATTGTACAGATTTTTGAACATCGCCGGTTATCTCCTACAACAACGGGTACAGCAGCAAATGTATAACGCCACGTATTCATCGGAATATAACCGAGTTACCGTCGCACGTTTGTATGTTGTATTTTATATTTACAGGTGCTTACGAATTGCCTATTGCGTCCGGGTGTTTTATTATTAAAGTATTTCGCCCTCTATTTGACGGTCCCGGACGAAAAAAAAAAAAACTGTCACATCTGTAGCGGCGGCAGACAATTGTGGAATAACACTATTATAAGTCTCTGACAACAGCCACCGCCAACGCGCACCGTTCACGGTAAAACCAATGGAAAACGGCGAAGCTTTGTGTGGTATAATCATTTGTTCTTCTACCGAACAAAAAAAAAAAAAAATAAAAATAAACAAATAACAAAACATTTGATAACTTTTTTTGCGTGTGTGCGACGTTTCGTCGAAGCAGGTGTGGCTTATATTTTATACTGTAATGAGATTTACATTGAGCTCCGCGCATTGGTGATGTAAGTATTGTGATCCGAAAAGCGTGGGCCGACTTAGATGATACAGAGCAAAGCGAGCGGCACGTACAAGTTTTGAAACAATCAAAATCGTTGTTGTTCCAAACGGTTCGAATCGTGTGTCGAATAAACGTTATGAAAAACGAAAAATATAATAAAACAGAGTGATACCTATATATATATTACACGTGATGTATGTTTTTTTACGACCGCATTAATACACGAACATTTCGACCTTTTTTATTTCACATAGTAATTTTCACAAAATTGTCTAAATTGTTGTTTGATGTTAGACGTAAAATATTATAGTACTTATTTGATGTTTTGAAAATGTACGAAAAAGTATTACCGTTTTACAATGAAATATTATTAAAATATTGTTGAAAAAAAATAATCGTCAAGATTAAGTTGGAAATGTTTAAAGGTAAATTACAACTGAAATGCTATGTGTTTGAAGGCATTAGCTTATTGTCATAAAATTATTTTCAAAAACTAATATAATTGAACCATAAATTAAAAAAAAACCATATAACGATTAATAATTGTACTTCGTAAATGATTGTAAATCGCATAATAATAATTAATTGATTGTAGTAATAAATATTGCAAAACAAAGTATAATAATATGTCATGTCCATTGTTCTAGTTTAAAACGTCAACTTAAGTATTAAAGATAATTTATGACAGGGTGTTAGGGGAAAAAACTACCATCATATAAATACATAAGCACGAGAGCGGAATAGTACTATGATTAATGTACATTATCATTCATAAGTTAAGTCATATAAAAGTGTGTAGGAACAAAAATAACGAATATTCATTTACTGACTTGGAGCAAAAAATAATTAGACGCTGAAACACCATTATGGAGTAATAAATGCATTTTTTTTAGGACCGTTAAATTTATAAAAAAAAATTTATATCAGGCCTACAATCTGTGCCATTTCATAACTACCCGCATAGTTTTTCGGGTATTTGGATGTCTGTGTTTAATATAGATCTATTATGATGTTCAAAATAATTACTGTACATCTAATTGTGCCGGTTTAAAAGATTAACCCGTATAATCTAACGCCATTCGAAATAATGGTCATTTTATTTTTATTTCTACAGTATATTACCGAGTAATGTATAATAAAATTTAGTTAATCTATGACAGTGTGATTTAAATAAAGCAACTGTATGCTATACTTAAATATTAGGAATATTTAAGTACATTATAAAATGTGGGGAGCAATTATTTTATGTGTAATTGGGCACAAAGCTCTTATAAAAACAATTATTTATTTATTTAACTTAAACGTTTTTACTAAAGTAATTTATTTAAGATATTAATCCATAGTTATTTAAGAAGAGATACTCCAGACTTTTAGATGGACTTATTGTCATATTATATTACTAGTTACTACCAACTGGTTTATTTTATATGGACCGTGAAGACAATTTTATTATGGAATTTGATTCACTACAACAAGTACAATTATATTTTTGTGTCATACACAAAATCTTTCATTTTCTATTTCGCATTCTTTCCTATTTCGATATGAGATCGACTAGAATAGTCTACAAAACCTTTCGTCGTATTAAGCGATCACCACGTCTGACAATATTTTTCCTGCATTTCACGTTTTAGCAATTTATTTCGAGATCTATACCATGTTCTCCGCCATCACAATAACATATTTTATTTTTTCTCTCTCATAACTTCGTTATCCGAATCATATGCCCCGTTTAAACAGCATAATATTTTATATATATGGTTTTAGATTTCTTCCAATTCAGTTAGGTACATCAGTGTAATTTATATAGGGGTACTTTTTTATTTTTATTATGTAAACACTTTTAGTAATACGATACTTTTCGTATCCCATATTTTTATCCACTGTTTTCGGCTATTTATTAAAAAAAAAAAAAACAAATAAATTTTCCAAGTAAAAACTGTTTTATCACATAGAAATCCATTAGCTGCGCTCGGCCCTAAACATTGTTCTGTGTAACGGGGTCGAGTTTTGGAGTAGTGAAATCGTTAAATTTATTATTCGGCGAGAATATTTTGCTCCCTTTGGCATGAGGTTAAGGAGAATTGGAAAACTTTCATCTAAATCACTTGGCTAGCTTTGCGTATACACAGATATAAATTATGTCAGTGTATGTGCAGTAACAATGTGCGACTTTAAAAACTAAAGTTATTACGGCAATGCTCCATTGGAAAAATGTATTTAGCCCCTGATGCACATTTTCGACTGGTCGCAATCTTTGTTCAACACAAAGCGACTGCAATTTATTGAAAATAAACACATTAAATTGTCATTAAAGTTTCAAATACAAAATAAAATCGACGTTTGTATTATTTATTATTATATTATACAAGATTGACTCTGTTCTAAAATGTGTTGCGTGGCATTGGCGTGGTAGCAGTGGAATTTAAAAGTAACTATACATAGCACAAACAGTATATTATGTCCCAAAGGTATCCCGCTAATTCGTAAAATGTGAACATTGTTACTACTCTTCGGTAAAGCAATTCTGAGCGCCAATTATTTATTGGAATACATAAAATACAACATCAATTTTTGTAATTTAATATTCGTATTTTGGCTGTGTTTGCATTAAACCAATTTTACTTATACTATATAACTTTATCTGTACAATAATAAAACACTGAAGGATAGACAAACAATACTAACGCGTGCAGAGATTTTTTAACAGTTCAAATAACTGGTATATCCTTGACGGCGCGTCGGTTATGCAATAATAGTACAAGTGTGCGTTAGGGGAATTTTGGAAAAGTTAAAAAATATATTATTTGTTTTACACGATGATTATGAACTAGTTCAAAATTACTATACTTAGTAACGTTTTTTTTTTGTATTTGCAACAATCAGATGATTCTACGAAAGTTGTAATAATATAACATAACGACATTGTGTAGTTTTTCTCGGAAATGCTATTGGTCGAAGTTTATGACTTATGAAACTCGTAATGTTTTTATTTCCTAATCAAACTTTATTGCTTTCCATCATCATTCAGTTTTTTC